ACAGGGCTCTCAGCCACGCTCACGGCCACTCACACCTGGCGTATTACGGCATGTCACCACACCACAAAATACCGCACTAATGCCCAGCTAATTTTTGTATTTTTAGTAGACATGGGGTTTCACCATGTTGGCCAGGATGATCTCGATCTCCTGACCTCTTGATCCACCCACCTCGGCCTCCCAAAGTGCTGAGATTACAGGCATGAGCCACCGCACCTGGCCCACAGTAACCTTTTAATTAAGACTAGCCATCATCATCATCATCCTTGTTGGTTTTGTTCAACAAGGTAGGTCTTCAGACACTTACACATTTTGATCATTAATTTTAACACTACTTTCTTAAGCTTTAAAAACTTAGCTTCTTTGGGCCATTTCTTTTTCACCTGTGAAATGGAGATATACCTTTCTCTTTAGGGACTTACTTATCTTAAAATGAGCTGTGAGCAGTAACTGATGTTTGCAAAATTTTTTGAAGATGAACAGTATTAAATGCTACATAATCACTACTGCTTTTAATTTCCATCAAAGTATTAGGCATCATAAAAAGGTAAAGCAGCATAAATTGATTCATCTATAAATTGGCTGTAATGATTGGTTTCCTACTGCACTTGCTTTTTTTGATGGCCATTCTGTTGGATCACCTTGTGGTATTTCCTGGTCCAAATAAGTGTTTAAGGTCATGACTTAGAGAGAAATCGTCTGTGAGATCCGCAACAAATAACCACACCTTAAGAATAAATGATTTATAAATGGATGGAAATTATAATGCATCATCAAAGCCAGATATTTTTAGGTAGAGACTTGTTTGTAATTTTACTGCATGGCTCAGCTTACCAAATTTCTCAAGCATCTCAAGAAATGAAGGGAAATCTGTCAAGCTTGATCAATCAAGGCCAATTGACTGGCCTTCTTCTTCAATGTTCTTCAAAGGCATTATAGCAAAAATATTTTTAAACATTTAATATCACCTATAATTTCATCATACTTTTTAATATTTTTAAATTCACCCAACATCTACTGAGTACCTATTACCAAGTGCAAAGCCTCATCCCCGATGCTGTGGGGACACTCTTATCCATGTGGAGCTTACAGTCTGCTGTGAAAGGGAAGCAGGGAAAAAATTATCAGACCTTGGGCAGTGAAAAAAGTGCTATAAAGAATGTAGCTTCATAATGCTGGGAACTGTTGTGGCAGAACCATTAATTTTAACCGAAAGAATCTAAAAAGGCTTTCAAGTAAAAGTTTACATTCAAGCCAAACCTTACAGGTGGAGAATTTTGAGGCAAAGTGTTGTCTAGTAGTGCTTTAGGTCATGAAAACAATGTAAATAAAGGTAAAAAGATGTGAAAGTAGGTGGTATGTATAATGAGCGGCAAGCAGTGCCTGGTGGCTAAGAGCAAGGGACTCCTGGATTCCTGTGGGAGAGTGGAAGGTAGTAAAGACTGGAAGCAGACCATAGAGGGACTTTAAATCATATTATGGAGTTGAGCTTATTCAGTAGACAGTGGGAAGCCAGTGGACATTTTGCAGGAGAGGAGGAACTTTATCTGGTCCATGTTATGGAAGATAACTTTACTAACAAATATTAGGGAGGTGAGAGGTCCTAGACAAGGAAACCAGTTATAATAACTAAAACTCCAAGTTACTGAGATGTCAGGGATCAATATGTGAATTAAAATTATTATATTAATTAATATTATTATATATTAATATATTAAATTAAAGCTGGTTGTAGTGTCTTACACCTGTAATCCCAGTGACTTGGGACCTGAGGCAGGGGGAACATTTGAGGCCAGGAGTTTGAGACTAGCCTGGGTGATGTAGCCAGACCCTATCTCCAAAAAAATTTTAAAAATTCTCTGGGCATAGTGGCATGTGTGCCTGTAGTCCTAGATACTTGGGAGGCTGAGGCAGGAGGCTTATTTTGAGCCCAGGAGGTCGAGGCTGCAGTGAGCTATGATCGTGCCACTGCACTCCAGCCTGGGCAGCAGAGCAACATTCTGTCCTTTAACAATTTTTTTTAAAAAATTCATTATATAAGTGCTTTCTGTAATTTATTTACTTAATTTGTAGAAGTTCCCTGGAGTGTAGGTGATATATTTATTTTAGAGTCATGAAGTCCTCAAGGTCATGGAGGTCATAGGTAGTGGAGTCCAGTGGTGGGGGATTGGAAATGAGGTGATGGGAAAAAAATCTGAATGTAGAGTTGCTGCTCCTCAGAGTGACTGAATGTGGGAGGTAGGAGAGGGAGAAATTGAAGATGACTGCACTCTGGGTACCATCAGCAAGAAAGGGAGCATAGTCAGATAAGTTTGGAATTAGTAAACAAGGAATTCTGCTTTAAAAGGTTGGATTTGCGATGTTGGCAAGACAACACAGGGAGAAATGTGGAGCTGGTTATCAGGAATGTAAGTGTGGCAGTGAACATGAGGTCAAGGGTGCAGGTGTGGGCAAGGAGTAATCAGAACATCCATGTGAGGGGAAGCCATGGGACAGGGTATAGAACAAGGAGAAGCCTGAGATAGAGGGAGTGTCCATCTGGGGATGGAGAGGGTAGCTGGAGAAGGAAGAATCAGGAAGGTTGGGGGAAACTGGAATGTGGAAGAATTGTGAACGAACAGCCAGGAGTGGAGAGAGCTTTAGAAATAATAGGTGGTAAATAGGGTCATTTATTGCACACCAAGAGGGAATGAGTGGGGACAGAAAGAACTGCTATATTTAGTAAGTAGAAGTTCATGGGTAATGTTTGAAAAACATTTCAGTGGAGTGGCATGATCAGGAGTTGAATGTCAGGGGTTTATGAATGAGAGGATGGTAAAGAAATCTGATGGACTACAAGGGATCAAAGGGACTTTTTATTAGGATAAGGGGAGTCCTAAGGAATCTAAGGGAAAAGGGCAGTAGAGGGAGATTAAGAAAAAAAAGAGTGGAAGATAGTTTGTTGGCTGTAGTACCAAAGCAAAATAGAAAGATGACCAGAATACAGAGAGTCTGGCAAAGGAAAGGGTTAAGGATTTTTTTTTTTAAATGATGGAAGAGAAACAAGAAATGAAATATGGATCGATATACCATGAAAAAGTAAAACATAATGGTGAAAATTTGAGAAAATTATTTTCTGAAAGTCTATCTCTCAGGGAGGTCTTACTGGCCTTCTTCAATATGTTTTACATTCCCAAAGAGCCTTGCACTTTTCCTTCAAAACACTCATCACACTTATAATTACTTGTTCAGTACCTGGTTTCAGCACTAGATTGCCATCCACTCTTCCAAGAGGATCACCATGGCTGTCTGCAGAACCTCCAGCACATAGAAAGAACTGCATGCCTGGCTCATAGGAAATACTCAAAAGAGATTTGATGTATAAGTACTTGACAGAGTCGTAGATTCTCTCTCTCTCTCTCTCTCTCTCTCCGCCCTCTGCTTTCTCTCCCCCTCCCTCCCTCCCTCCCTCTGCAGTGCGAAAAAGTGCCAGAGACACAATAGATTTGACGAATACTTGCTAAGTGAATGAAATCTTCTCAGTGAAATAGGAAGTGGTCTCATCTACTGATGATAATAACTATATTTTGAGTTCTCACAGTGTGCTAGGCACTCTGTTAAGCACTTACATGCTAGATGTAACAGGTAAGCCACAGTAGTTCAGTGGTTTACATAATAAAAGTTTATTTCTTGCTCACTGACACTATGAAAGGGCTGCTCCTGATTGACAGGCAGCTCCTCTTTCAGAGATGGAGACACTTTATTCCAGCTGCACCATCTCTTGCACCCTCACCTGCAAATGGGGGAAGAGGATGAGAATGAGGCACTTGGCCCCATATGGGCTAGGAAGCCACTTCCTAGGGATGGCTTTATATTATAGAAACGAGAACATGAATTGGTTGACACCTAGCCATCACTTTCACATATGAGTTACTTACTATTTATAATACCTCTAAAGGAGGTACTATTATTATCCTCATTTTGCAGATAAACCTACCAAGGCTTAGACCTGTCCAAAAATAATAAGGTTCAGATTTGAGATTTAAAGTCAGGTTCGTGTCCATCTGACTCAGTAGCTTCTGTTCTTACCTGCTAGACCTTTGGTTCTCAAGTGGTGGTGATTTTGCCCCCGTGGAACATTTGGCAGTGCCTGTAGACATTTTTCAAGGTTGGGGGAGAGCTACTGACATCTATTGGGTAGAGGCCAGGGATGCTACTAAATATCCCACTGTGCATAAGACATCCCCACCCCCAGCCAACCTCTACGAAAACATATCCAGCTCAAAATGTCAATAGGGCCAAAGTTGAGAAACTCTGGACTAGACTGTACACCACCCATGATGGATGAGAGTGGAGGCAAAACATGATTGAAAAAATTAAGAACAGCTGCTTTGAGGGATGAGCTAAGTGTTACTTATGAAAAGGTATAAAGGATTGGCGAAGAGCAGAGAGGTGCTGGTGGTTGTTGAATGGGGAGGAAGGTAAGTGGTCCTATTAATTTTCGATCAGCTACTTGGCATTTCTGGGACTTGTTAGTATTTTTAAAGAAGTAAATGATTCATACTTTACAGGATGAATATATTATCCTTGAATTCATTTTATTTCTGAACTTAGGGAGACAAGAGTCGTCCTTTCATTACGTCCAGTCCTACAAATGGGGCTGAAACTGTTGCAGAAGGCTGGGTCTCTCAAAACCCTAATAGCAATTATTTTGGTGATGTACATTTTTATGACTATATCAGTGATTGCTGGAACTGGAAAGTTTTCCCAAGAGCTCGATTTGCATCTGAATATGGATATCAGTCCTGGCCATCCTTCAGTACATTAGAAAAGGTAAGTCATCTTTTGATTTTCTAATGTTTCAAAACGATACAGTGTGGGCATGTGTTTTTTCTGACCACTGGTTCAGAAAATCATTTGAAACCTACATCTTATTTAAATGAAAGTTTGAGAAGAAGATGGAGGAAAATAAATTTTTTAAACCTTTGGGGATTACTTTTCTATATTGCTTTTACTGTGTTCCTTCAGGAGCACTGAAAGCACTAAATGGGGCCCAGTGGTTGCTTAAGCCTGACTTATTATCACACATGGAAATAACTCTTACTTGCTATAATAAGTCTTACTTGTAAATCATATCCTGCAACTATTTTACCATTTACAGATATTCAGAACTGGATATTTCACTACAGGAAGAGGGTAAATGTGATAAATAAACCTTAGTCTAATGTTATCATCTTACCTTTTCTCTCCTCTTTCTCCTCCTATTCCATTTTTCCTCCCTCAACTCCTCTTCCTCCCTTGTTTTCATGGTGTTGGTGTGTTTTATTTTGTGTATGGATTTTCACTCTCTCTGTTCCTAAAGATTCAGTTTCAGCATTGTGTGTATTCTTCTTAAAATAGCTTTATTGAGTTATAATTCACTTGCCATACAATGCACCCATTTAATGTGTACAATTTAATAGTCTTCAGTATATTCACAGAGATGTGCAGCCAGCACCACAATCTAATTTTAGGACATTTTTTATCACTCAAAAGAAACCCTGAACCCATTAGCAGCCACTCCCTATTTTTCCCTATCCCTCCTCCCCAGTCTTAGACACTACCAATCTAATTTCTGTGTCTATAGTTTTCCTTACTCTTTATATTTCATATAATTGGAATAATATAATATGTAGTCTTTTGAGACTGATTCTTTGACTAGGTGTGTTTTCAGGGTTCATCCATGTTGACCATGTATTAGTATGTTCCTTTTTTTTATTGCTGAATAACATTCTGTTGCATGGATACTACATTTTGTTTATCTATTTATCAGTTGATGGACATTTGTGTTATTTCCTCTGTTTGGGTATTATGAATAATGCTGCTGGGAACATTTGTGTACATGTTTTGTGAATATATATTTTCAGTTCTACTGAATGTATATCTAGGAGCGGAATTGCTGGGTCATATGGTAGCTCTATCTTTAATATTCTAAGGAACTGTCAAATTGTTTTCTGTAGCGATTGCACCATTTTGCATTTCTATCAGCAAGGTATTAGGATTCCAATTTCTCCATATCCTTGCCAACACTTGCTATTTTCTTTTTTTCTTCACATTTCCCTGGGAATTTACATTTACAGGAAATTTGCATATCATTGATGACTAATCATGTTGAGCATTTTCTTCATGTGCTTCCTGGCCATTTGTATGTCTTCCTTTGAGAAATGTCTATTCAAATCCTTTAGCCATTTTTTTTTTTTAATCGAGACAGGGTCTTGCTTTGTTGCCCAGGCTGGTGTGCAGTGGAGTGGTCATGACTCACTGCAGATTTGACCTCTCAGGTTGAAGCAATCCTCCTGCCTCAGTCCCGCCAAGAAGCTGGGACTACAAGCATGTACCAACACACCAAGCTAATTTTGTAGAGATGGGGTTTCACCAAATCATCCAGGCTGGTCTGGAACTCCTGAGCTCAAGTGATTGCCTACCTTGGCCTCCCAAAGTGCTGGGCTTATAGGCGTGAGCCACTATGCACGGCCTGGTCATTTTAAAATTATTTGTCTTTATTTTATTGAGTTATGAAATTTTTAAAAATATTTTCTGGCTATAAGATTTTATCAGGTATTTGATTTGCAAATATTTTCTCCCAGTGTGTGGGTTGTCACTTTATTCACTTTCATGGTATCACAGCACAAAAAATTTAAATTTTGATGACGTTTTACTTACCAATCTCTTCTTTTTGGTGTTGCATCTAAGAAATCATTGCCTCGCTCCAAATGGCAAAGGTTTATTTCTGTGTTGTCTTCTAAGAATTTTATAGTTTTAGCTCTTGCATTCAAGTCTATGGTCATTTTGAGTTATTTTTTATGTGTGGTGGGAGGTAGGAGTTCAGGTTCATTCTTTTGCATGTGGATAGCCAGTTGTTCCAATAGCATATATTGAAAACACTATTCCTTTCCCCCATTAAATTCTTTTGGCCCTGAAAATCAATTAACCATAAAAGTTAGGGTTTATTTCTGAATTCTCAATTCTGTTCAAGTGGCATATTTCATGTCACTATGCACTGTCTTGATTGCTATAGCTTTGTAGTAAGTTTTGACATTAGGAAGTGTGAGTCCATCAATTTTGTTCTTCTTTCAATTTTTTTTTTTTACTATCCTGGGTGCCTTGCATTTCCAAATGAGTCTTGGAATCTATTTGCTAATTTCTGCAGAAAAGTTAACTGGGATTTTGATAGGGATTATGTTGAATCTGTTGATCAGTTTGTGAGTGTTGCCATCTAGTAATATTAAATCTTCTGACACATGAACATGGGATGTCGTCTTTAATTTCTTTCAACAATGTAGTTTTCAGTGTACCAGTCTCACAATTCTTTGGCTTACTTATTCCTAAGTGTTTTATTCTTCTTGATGCTATTGTAAATAAAATTATTTTCTTAATTTCATTTTTAGATTGTTCATTGCTAATGTATAAAAATACAAATGATTTTTGTATATTGAGCTTGAATGCTACAACGTGGACGATCTCATTTAATAACTCTAATAATATTATGGAGGATATTCTTTAGCATTTTCTATATATAAGATCCTGTCATCTATAAATAGAGGTATTAATAATATTACTTCTTCCTTTCCAATCTGGAAGCCTTTTATTTGATTTTCTTACTTAATTTCCCTGGCTAGAACTTTTCATACAATGTAGAAAATGGGTGGGAAGACAAGATATCCTTGAGTTGTTCTTTTTCTTAGGGGGGACATTTCAGTCTTTTACCATTTAGTGTGATATTGACAATAGGTTTTTAGTAGATGTCCTTTATAAGGTCAAGGAAGTTCCCTTTTATTTCTAGTTAGCTGAGTGTTTATATCGTGAAAGAATGTTGCATTTTTTCAAGTGCTTTTTCTTCATCTATTGAAATGATTGTGTAGTTTTGCTGTCCCTGCATCAGTTGTGTAAAGTAACCACACACAAAAAAAGTCTTTTAAGACAATTTCAAAATCTTTTTCAATTTCACCAACTGAACACAACTATATTTGCTTATTCACATTGAAGTTATACTGTACTTTAACTTTAATGATGTCATAACCCTAGCTCTACCCTTGGTTTTTTAAAATTTAAAAATTAACAAAAAATTGTATATATCTATTGTGTACTACACGATGTTTTGAAACATATATACATTGTGAAATTCCATACCCCCTTTTTTAATTGTTCCCAAATTGTGGGGCTAATCTTTTGGGAATACTATTGTTTCAGAGTGAAGGAGGATGAAGTTCAGTATCCTGACGCAGGCAGGAACAAGTGTTGAGAGTGGGAAGGAAGGAATGAAGGAAGCAAGAATATTTACTGAATAATTGCTGTGTACCATGTACTCATTCTTTAATTCGACAATAAGCTGCCCACTCCACTTTGAGACGCAGGAGGAAATCAAATTACTGTAAGAGGACGCAAATAGAACTCCTACCCTGCAGTGCTTTGATTTCCTCTTGGGCCTCAGTCAAAGGGGAGTGGGTCGATTATTGTCTAATAAAAGAATGAGTACCTGGTACACAAGCAATAATTCAGTAAATATTCTTGCTTCCTTCATTCCTTCCTTCCCACTCTCAGAAATAAGCAGCTGGGTTCAGACTTACTCTCTGTCTCCAGAGCTGATAGATTTTCTTTTCACCACACTTTAGAAAGATTAGTGTTAGAAATTGCTAAACCTTTTCCTTAAATCTGTAAAAATTTCTACTGGCCTCCTTCAAATAATGGAATTATTTTTATCCCATGTTTTTGTGAAATGCCTGATGATGTTCAGAGATAATAAACACTATATTTTAAAATAGAGAAAGTTGAGGATAAGTGCTGCTCATTATGAATCGTTTGTTATCTTGATTTACTCATCTCTTTTTAAGCTACACTGCTTAGTTGGGAATTTGAATAGGTGACTGGGAAAATAAAAGAAAGCAATAGAACAACTAAATAAAACTTTGGCTCTTTTATTTAGAAGCTTTTTCATGTATTCAACAAATTGATTAAAACATATCTCTTTAATTTGGGATACATTGATTTTTCATAAAATATATTTTCAACATGTGGTTATCAATATTGCACGGTGATTAAAAGTTTGGGCTTTGGGATAAACAGAACTGGATTGAATATGACAGCTGCCACTCATCTGTATTATCTTGGACAGATTATGTAATCTTTCTGAATTTCAGTTTCTTCATCTGTAAATTGGGGTTAATAGTAGTAAATACCTCATGTATATGTGTGTGTGTGCGTGTAGATATGCACATGTGCGTGTGTTCATGAGTAAAGATTACGTTAACTAATACATTGAAGCACTTAGCACTGTACCTGACACAGTGAGAGCCCATGAAATGTAAACTATTATTACCTTTAGTATAGTCCATTTTAATCATATTATTTGTATGAAAGTTTCATTTTCTTCAGATCCTTCTGGGTTTAATGAACTAGGGACTGGAGCTAGATTGCATTAGATTTGGATACTGAACAAGTTATTCAACCTTTCTGTGCCTGGTTTTCACATCTGTAAAATGGTGTGATAATTGTACCTACTTGTAGAGTTTGTTTTGTTTTTTGTTTTGAGAGAGGGTCTAGCTGTGTCACACAGGCTGGAGTGCAGTGGCGTGATCATGGCTCACTGCAGCCTCAAACTCGTGGGCTCAAGCACTCATCCCACTTTAGCCTCCCAAGTAGCTGGGACTACAGGCATGTGCCACCACACAGGGCTAATTTTTTATTTTTATTTTTGTAGAGATGGGATCTCACTATGTTGTCCAGTCTGGTCTTGAACTCCTGGGCTCAAGTGATCCTCCCACCTTAGCCTCTCAAAGTGCTGGGATTACAGGTGTGAATCACTGCACCTGGCCAGGTTTTTATGAGTATTAAATAAGTTAATATATATTTTTTAAGTTAATATTCTTAAAGTAATTAGAACTTTGCCTGGCCCTTTCCAGTTCTTTCTAGTAATATTATTATAGCTGAAATTTGAAAGATTTTCAAACCATAGTTATAAGAAGGTAGAAAGCCTCCCATATGACTAAAGATCAGGTTTACTGATTATGGGATAGACCCAAATTATTACAAATAAGAAGGCTGCATGGCCCAAAGGTGTATTTCAGACTTTGAAAATGAGGAAGGACACTCCTATGTGAAAGCTAAAAAAGTTGAGCTCAAAGAAGTAGAGTGGAATAGTGATTACTAGAGGGTGGGAAGGGTTGTGGGGGAGGGGCAGTAGAGGTTGGTTAATTATATTAACTAACCTCTAAACCAACCAAATTAACCAACCAATGAAAATTATAGCTAGATGGGAAGATTAAGTTCTAGTGTTCTATAGCACTTTGGGGTAACTATAGTTAATAATAATTTATTGTATATTTTCAGATAGCTAGAAGAGAGAATTTTGAAAGTTCCCAACACAAAGAAATGATAAATGTTTGAGGTGATGAATTTACTATTATCCTGTTTTGATCCTTATACATTGTATACATGTATCAGATTATAACATGGTACCCCATAAATGTGTACTCTTATTGTGTCAATTAAAAACAATAAACATAAATTAAATAAATTAAGAGGAGGAAGCATAGGAAGAAGACTATCGATAAAGGATGTGCATCTAAAATGTGTACGAGATGATTGTAAATGTGAATCTGTCTTTTAAATACATAATAGGAGTAGTTAGCATTCTTTAATTCTGGTGGTGGCATTTTGGAAAAACATCTATAATTAGGAAAATCTTCCAAATTTAATATGGCTAGTGTACATTTCTTACATTTGGGTATGAATCAGTTCCTGAAGAATAACCTTTTCCTTTTATGGTAATGGGCCCATGTGTTGCTTAATTACTGGGAATGAGAAGTCATACTTTATGAACAGGGATTAAGCTTTTTTAATTTTCAGGTTTTTGGGTGGAGGGGCAGACTATGTTTTTTCAAAGTCTGTGTAACTTGAATTAAAACTCTGGATGTTTTCAGATGTAGCCAGCAATTGTCTTCTTTCTTAAGTACTAACAGTGCATTAAATTATAGGCCTAAAAGCCAGAATTATTGCTTTTCTTCTCTTTTATTGTAGAAGGTACACTCCAACAAATGTGAGTTTTTTTACTCTGTTTTTTAATTTGAGCTGATGATAAAAGAAAGATCCTGTACGTTAGGATAAAACGGATAAAATAAAGATCCTATAATTTGGGCCTGGCTTAAAAAATGAAAGATTGATTTTTTTAGGGGAGAGAAGTAACATTATTTGGTTTGTGTCTTCAACTATATAAAAATTAAACATATGCATCAGTTTCATTTACTAATCACTGAGAAACAAGTGAGCAGTGTAAGTGCTAAAGCGTTTACTCTCATAATATTCCTATTATAGTGTAATAGGTGTTTTATTCCTATATAAGAATTGTGACAATTTTAACAGAGTGTCAACTGCATTCTATTATTAAGTTTTGACAAATGAATACTAGATAAAATATTTACCTAAGTAGATAAAATGATATTTTAAAATACATATAGTAAATGTTTCAAAAACCAGCAATATGTTTTGATAAAACAAGAGTCTTAAGAGAAACACCAAAATATAACTTTCTTAGTTGGAGGAAGGGAGGATATACGTACCAAACCCTAGTTTTGTGATTCCACTTTCCACAAGGCTAGTCCTTCACTGAACAACAAGTAGGATGGCAAAACATTTATGAAACTGGAGCCATAGAACAAACCTCGAGCTTCTTTAACTTTCGAGCTCTAACTTTCCAGATTTGTTAGGAACTTATAGAAGAGTAGTTTTACTGCTAACTTTCAGATTTCTAATTCTTATTCTTTATTTGAAAGGTCTCATCTACAGAGGACTGGTCTTTCAGTAGCAAGTTTTCACTTCATCGACAACATCACGAAGGTGGTAACAAACAAATGCTTTATCAGGCTGGACTTCATTTCAAACTCCCCGAGAGCACAGATCCATTACGCACATTTAAAGATACCATCTACCTTACTCAGGTAAGTCGTTTTCATTCTAGAGTTGAACAGGTTCCTGCAATTAATGTAAGAGATTATGTAGATTTTGTAGGCCATATATGGTGAAAACTATTCAAGTTTTCATTCTACTGGTTAAGGAATTTATTTTCTTCAAAGAACATATATGATGACACATAGGACATGAAATAGTTCATTTTTGGCATTTGCCTCTCTTACAAAAACAACTCACAAAATTCTGAAAGAAATTGTGTATGAAAATATTCTCTACTTCAAGATTGCTCTAAAGGTTTAGTAATTAAGGCAGTGCCATTTCCCAAGGATAAAAATAGAACAACGGAACACAATACAGTCCAGAAACAAATCCCTGTATAATATAGACACCTGATTTATGGCTGTGATGCCACCACAATTGAGTATGAAAAGAATCATTTATCAATAAACAGTGCTGTATCATGTGGATGCCTTTATGGGAAAAGAAATGAACTTGATTCCCTATACAAATTAATTTGATTGTTGGGCATGGTGGCACACACCTGTAGTCCCAACTACTTGGGAGGCTGAGGTGGGAGGATTGATTGAGCCCAGGAGTTTGAGACCAGCCTGGACAAAATATCAACAACCCCATCTCTAAAAAATAAATGAATAATAAATTTTAGAAATTTCATTTGATCAATGACTGAAGATTCAAATGTGAAAGGTACTACAATAAAGCTTCAAGAAAACATGGAATAGCTTCATGATTTTGGGATAGGTAAGAGTTTTTATATAGAACATAGAAAGCACTAACTAGAAAAGAAAATCTTGATAAATTTATACTCCATTGAAATTATGGACACCATTAAGTATAAAAACACCATTAAGAGCGAGAAAAGGCAAGCCACAAATTGGGGACCAGTAGTTTTAATTCATATATTTGATAAAAGATTTGTATCCAGGATAAAGCAATTCTTATTGCTTTCTATAAAGCAATAAGAAAAAGCCTGACAATCTATTTAAAAATGGACAAAAGTCTTGAACAGGTACTTCGCCAAAGAAGATATCCAAAGGGTCAATAAATACATGAAAATGTACCCAATCTTGTTTTAAATAAAGAACATGCAAATTAAAGCCATACCAGGATACCCCTACACACCCAGCAGAATGGCTAAAATTAAAAAGATTGACAATACCAACTGCCGGTGAGGAAGAGAGACAGCTGGACATTTTAGACATTGTTAGTAGGAGTTTAAATGTGTTTAACCACTTTGGAAAATTTTATAGCAGTTTCTACCTAAGCTAAATGTTTGCTTCCTGTTTGAATCAGCATTTCTGCTCCTAGCTATGCCCCCTAAGAAAAATGAATTAATATGTCCACCAATGGATTTCTCAAATAATGTTCATAGCAGCACTATTCACAATAGCCCCAAAGTAGAAACAACCTAAATGTCCTTTAACAGGAGAATTTATAAACAAATTGTAGTATATTCATACAGTGGAATACTCCACGGCAATAAAAAAAGAATAAACTACTGATGGTCAGCATGAACTTGGATGGGTCTCACAGGTATTACATTGAGTAAAAGAAACCAGACATAAAAGGATACATAACTGTATTGATTTCTTTTATATTGAAATTTAAGTATGTTATAGAAAAAAGTACAGATTAGAAAAAAGAGCAATCAGGATGATAGAGAGCCAAGTAGTATTAACTATTCTTGTGGAGGAGGGTGTGAGCAGTGATTAGGAAGGGATACAAGAGAACTTTCTGTTTTCTATCTTGACCTGAGTGGTAGTTACATGGATGTATGCATATATCGAGATTTGTGAATGTTACAGCGTGCAACTTGCTGGATTTTAAAAACAGTTCTATCAAGGTATGATGGACATATCATAAAATCCACACATCTTAAGAGTACAGTTAAGTGATATTTATAGAGTGGTGCAACCATCACTATGGTCCGATTTTAGAATATTTTTGTCATTCTAGAAAGAACCCTTGTACCCATTTACAGTCACTCCCCTTTCCCACCTCCAGCCACAGGACAACATACATCTATTTTCTTTCTCTATAGATTTTACTTTTCTCAGCATTTCATGTAAATGGAATTATATAATACGTGATCTTTTGCATCTGGCTTCTTTCACCTAGCATAAAGTTTTTGAAGATCATCCACGTTATAGCATGTAGTTCATGTCCATTTTCTTGCCAAATACTATTCAGTTGTATGGATATACACATTTTGCTTATCCATTCATCAGATTCATCTGTTGATGGACATTTGTTATATTGTATTCCAATTTTTGGCTATTACGAATAATGCTGTTATGAATACTCATATACAAATCTTCGTATGGACATAGATTTCCTTTTCAACGGGTAGAAATATACTAATGGAATTGCTGAGTTATATAACAAATTTATGTTTATCTTTTTAGGAAACTGCCAAACTGAATTTTGGATGATGTTTTCATTTTACTTTTTTCATTTGCCTATTTTAGTTCATGAACCTGTGACCACACTTAAGACTCCATTAAAGTCACTGCTTATTTACCTGCTGTTTTTGCATACATGTTTGAAGTTCTTAGAGAGGAGGTAAAAGCCTAATCCCAATCATAAAAGTTGATCTGAAGTAGATAGGAAAATTTTAAAAACATAATCACAGTTAAATTTTCCTATCTTAGTATCTAAAAATGTACGAATTTTAATCCAAACTCATGCTCACACCTTCATCAGTTTTCTCCTGTAGGAAAACACAAACCCCACGATAGAAGCTAAAGCAGAAAACCGTATGCTGAAAGAATAATCTTTTTTAGAAGGTGATGAAATGATTAGGAGAATTTTAATGTTTCAGTCATAATCTTATGGGTTAGGACAGTTTTGCCAGGGTGATGTGTAATTCACGAATTTACCAGAACACAAAGTTAAAGGCAATGCTGGTGTCTGTCCCTTGAAACGTGTTGCACTTTATTTTTGAAGTTTTCCACAGATGATATTCTGTTAAAGTGTTCTGATACATAAAATAGGCTGATTAGTATTTGTGTGTGTGTGTGTAAGAGACTTTTCTGCTGTTGTTTTTTATGCTGGATTTTATCCTTCCAGCTGTTTATTACTCTAACTTTATTCTTTTCCTCAAAATTATATTCCAAGAACTGACAGAAATAATTTTTCTTTTCAGAACTGATCAGCATTCAAGGTCCATAGTTAGGAAGTGGGCATACAGGTGGAGTTATTTGTTGCCAGTTTTTGTTGGTGATAGTTTTGTCTGAGAATTTAGCACTGGTGTCCTCTGAGGCTTTGGCTCAGAATTGGACTTGTCCTCATGTGGCTTGTGAGTGTCTACCGTGGCACTTTCCAACCTACTAGATGAGATCTGTGATGAAAGAATTCAGAGTTATGATTATTTTGTTTTGTTTTCAGTGTCAGATTTTCTTGATTGAAATATAGACAGAAAATGTTAGGGTTTTAGGGTTTTTCCTTGTTACTTTGATTTTAGAACAGTCCTCTTTAATCTGTGTATTAGAAATAAAACCCTTCTCTGTTCTATTTTCTATATTCCTACTCCCACTCCTGTTCTTTTTCTCATAGTCTGTCATACTATTCTGAAGAACGGACTGCTTGCCTATGTGCCACTTTTTAGACGGTTTATTAATTAAGGAATATTTGCAACTGTCAGCAAACTCTTAGCTGAGAAAGCTGTCCAGTAAATTTCTTCACGTTCAGATCCTTCCCTATCTTCTCTTTATCTTATAGTCACAAAGATATCCCTATGGGCTCTTGCCTCTTTAATTCTCCTAGTATTCCAGGATAATCTTGCCTCACCTTTTACTATCCCCCTTTCCCTGTTATATTGTATTCCAAATAGCCCGTATACGTGAGCACACCCTCTTAAGCTATGTTACACAGATCTCACTCTCTAGTTTGAGGACCAGCTATCTAAACGAACACATCTAAACTAACTTTTAAGTAACTTACTCTACCAGCATGGCCTCTTATTGGCCACTAAGAGAATAGGCCAGGCCAAGGACATTAATTACCAAGCCCTTAGCTTACAGCCTTCTCTAGTGCTTTTGTTTGTTCTTCATGTATCTATTGAACATCAAATGATGGCTTGGGGATGTCCTTGAGAAACTCATTTTCTTTAGGGGCCCATTTTATCTTCCCATGTAAGCAACTTGATCATAAGAACTAAGGACAAAAGGTAGGTGATGCCGCAGGCCCAGGTTTTGATGATACCTGCTGCCCTAGAATAGTTATTTGTTCGGTAAGTAGCACTGAGACACAATGGAAGATCCAGGCCATACTGAGCGTTTAAGATGAGAGTAGGGTGGGCAAAGGAGGGGAATGAAAGGGTGACCACTAACATTGTATATTATGTATTAGGAGTTTGTATAGGCCTCATGTAATTTAAAAATCAAGCAAATATTTAGCATTCTTTGGGTATCTACTAAATGCCTGGTCCTGGGTCATGAAGTGCTTACACCCATATCACTCTTTTCCGTTTTATACATGAGAAAACAGGCTCAGAAAAGTTAAATATTTTGCCTAAGGACTCAGGGCAATGAATGGAGTAGGGTTTCTGCTTTTTAACCTGTAATATTCTGTCCCTTCACAGTTGTGATAATGGTGTTTGGTTAAATTGTTAACAGTAATTTTCAGCAATTAAGTGAAGTGGGCATCAGAAATTTGGCACATTAAATAAAGACCTCATTAGAACACTGGAGAAAACCAATGAAGCCAAAAGTTAATTCTTCAAATAGATCAACAAAATTGACAAACCTTTAGCTAGACTGGCCCAGAAAAAAGAGAGGACACTCAAAATACTAAATTAGGAATGACAGAGGAAGTATTACTACTCACCTTACCGAAATAGATAAGGTGATAAGATAATATATACACAATTATATGGCAACAAATCAGATAATTTAGATGAAATGGATGAATTGCTAGAGAAACAACTCATGAAAACTGAATCAAGAAGAAATAGAAAATCTTAATAGCCCTATAACAACTAAGATTGAGTTAATTAAAAAACAAAAAAACC